CATTAACACAGTGCTTTTAAAGGCAGGACTGCCCCTTTCTTTCCTAACGATCACGTTTCCTTCCATTGGATCCTGCCCTGTCCTGGTTTACTTTCTGTTTCTCCCACTCATTTCCATGCATTCTTCAGAAACACATGCGAAGTCCAGAATAGCCTCTCCCTTTCTGCCAGCCAACTCAACACTTCCTCTCAAGCCCTTCTTCTTAAAAATAAATTCATCTCTGACTGATTTTTCCAAGGCCTCTCCTTCTCACACCCCTGGGGGGTAAAAAAAGAGCTCCCCTCCTTCCCAAATCATGCAGGAGAATAACGTAGAAGATCTGTAAGAGGCTGTAAATAAAAAGGTATCTGAGAGAAAGAATAGTCCGGAAATTAAATGTGGAAGTGGACAGCTCTGGGTTTGCATCCTGGCTTTGTCATCATTTACTAGCAGTGGATAGGTTACTGAACCTCCCTAAAGCCTCAGTTTTCTCATCTGCAAAATGGAGATAGTAATGTAAAAACCCCTCCAGGGCTGTAAGGAGAACTAAATGAGACAGGGCATTTGAAGTGCTTCCAGTTTCTAAAACAGAGTAAACACTTGACAAATGTTAGCTTTATAATTGTTGTTGTTGTTATTATTTTATTATTATTTTCATGGAAACCCTTTGGGTAGGAATGTCACCCTACTTCCCCCACTGCGTAAAGAGCAACAAGAACTCAGTGCTTCTAAAAGTTAAGAAAGTAGCACCATGTATGTGGAAGGCTCGGGTGCCATTATGTGCTGATCACAGCCCCTGGGAAGCACTTCTCAGAAGCAACGTGCAGAACAAGCAAAGGGCCTATTTTTAGGCGTTTCCAATGAGGACACAGCAGGTGAGCTGAATGCCTTACCTGGCCAACTAGCCTCAGCCACACCCTCCTCTCTGCAGGCTGTCAGCCTTTCTAGGGGGGTGCCACTCAGACCCAGACTCAGGAATTTACTGCCAATTTGCCCCACTCCTGATGTCTGTTCTCCCTTTTGGTGACCTCAAGGCTTGAGAGAAATGAAAAAGCCAACAGCTTCTCCTCACAAATAAAGCAAGGACCCTGCCTGCTGGTACTGAGTCACTGTCCCATTTGTAGACTCTCCCAGAAAATGACACAAAACACACAAAGTCAGGCTCCAAATCTCAGAAAGGCTCTGATTCACCAGGGCGTGCTTCAGAGCTGGAACTTTGGGGTGGGAGGTACACCACTGCCCAGCCTGCCAAGACCAATCTTCCTCTAAAAAAAAGAAGAAGAAAGAAAAAAGCCGAGCCTTTCCTAATAAGGTAATGCCACATGCCATTTGTGGTTTCAAATTGCTCAGCACTCCAGGATCATGTGACATTCGAGGCAGCCATCCCTTCACGCTTGTGCAAGGCTCTCCAGGAAGAAGGAGAAAAGAGTCTTTGGTGTGTCCCCGGGGATCACAAATGACTGGTGAACATGCTGTGCCGGTGGAACCCCACACTTCCCTGATTAACCACACTGGCCTCTGGTCCCTCCACAGTGCTGCCTGCACGACCCTCCTGGGTAGGCCCAGGCACTGTGAAGGCTGTCAGGTCGCTGTGCACGCCCGCTTTCTCTCTCCAGCGAGGTACAAGCTTCTTGAGGGCAGAAACGCTCCTTTCTTTCTTTTGTTTCGCCCTGCTATGCTTATCACAGCGTAATCCACCCAGCAGTTACTCAATAAATGCTTGATGATGGATTAGAGCTGAGAATTTTACAGACCAGTAGGTGATCGCTTTATATCATTAACCCCCCCGGCTTATACATCGGCAGGGTTTCAAAAGTTGGTTTCAAAGAAGGTGCTTAAGGAGCATATTTTCCCATAGAAACCGTGTTATAACTGGGGGTTAGGTTTCCAGGCCCGCTCATTTCTCAGAAATATCCACATTTACGTATCTTCTTACTGAGTCCTATCACTTGTCTCAGACTCACATCAGACAGCAGTTCGTGTGCAGAATGCGTTCTTTCAATTTAATGATTCAGTTTAGTTACAGCATCAGTGACTTGCACAGACATTCCCCCCACCTCATATTGGATGTATTTTCAGATTTTTATGACACTTTATGTAGGTAATGATCGACACATTAGGTATTTAAAAAATAGCATTAAGAAGGAATTATTTTTGCTCGTCATTAAAAAAAAAGATGCGTGTACTTTTGTTTTTTCCTTTGTATTCAAATATTTTTTTCAACAGTTTTGAACTACACTTATTATTGGGTCACCTTGAACTTTCCACACACACACACACACACACACACACACACTCACTACCATATATCCATTTATATTCTGCCTATTTCCAAAAACAGATTTGTAGGGAAAAAAAACCATAGCCTCCAGGACTGGCCATTTGTACTTTTGTTATATATGTGTGTGTGTGGTTATATATATATATATATATATAACCACACACACACATATATCCCTGCGAATTTATAAGTTGGGGGTTAATGATATAAAGCAATCACCAGTGATCTGCAGAATTCTCAGCACTAATTCATCATCATGCATAAATGTGTGTACATATATCTACATATATCATATATAACATATAATACATACATATTAATATATTACATAAATTTATTTATTTGGGGCTATTAAAATATTTTTTACTCACTAAATAAATGACATTAACTTTTTTTTTTTTAAATGACATTAGCTTTTAAAGTAAGAGCTATAGTTGCTCAAAAGTAAGGCAAAGTCTGTAAGACACTTTCTCACTGGGCTGTAGGGAGAATGTTTAATGGCCTGCTCTGGGAGTAACACCGTACATGTAGAAGAAAGCTTTCCATGTCAGAGAGCAGGACAAACGCCATCAGCTGCCTGGCCCGTGCTGAGACAGTCCAGGCTTCAGTGCCCAGTTTCCTTCACAGCCTGGGGTGTTGGCAGCTCCAGGACGTCCACTGTCTAGGATGGGGCTTTCCAGAAGGTCAGAGTTACTGTGTTTGGGACCATTCGTACAAAATATACGCACCCAAATGCCTGCCATTGTACTGCTCCCTCTAATAGTGACCTTGCTACTTAGGTAACCGAAAAAGCCATACCTTGGCCCTTGTTCCCATGCAACGGCATTCCAAAAAGATAAATCTCAATGATTTTCCTGTGGATACTCTAGAAGTGCCAAACCAAAACAACAAGCAAGCAGGAAGCTCTCCCAAACCTAACACGCTATACTCATGCACTAAATGTGCCTCTCCCCATCTTTTGGAGTTCCCAGCTGCCTTCCTAACCCAAATCAGCATTTAACGCAGCACGACAGAGATGTCAGGTTAATGACCATGAAGCGTGACAAGTACCAGGGCATTCGTATCACGTCTGTCTTTCGGCAAGAATTATTACTAAGACACAAGGAGCTGCAGTCTCTTCTCCACCCCACTGTGCCTGGTAGGAACTCAGTATGGCTCGTCTTTGATTGATTGGGCTGACCCTTTAATGGGAAGCCCCGAATAACTGGATATTCTCGTTAGCTGCCCTTTTCTTATATCAGCTCTTAGAGAAAATCTAACATATATGCCTGCACTCTCTCCTACCACTGGATAGAATTTAATCCACATAGCAATTCATTACCGTGTTCATCTTTCTTTGGTGTTTCTGGATGTTGCTGGGCTTCCAGCTCTGATTAGTGACAAGAGGACAGCTGTCTAGCTATAGCTAGTATAGGAGACTGGTCTGAATGTACCTGGAGTCCAACGGACACCTTTGAAAGTATGACTGTTTATTTCAAAAATGTCACACATGAACAGAGCATTGCTGTTTGTCACTGAAAAACGCCAAGTGTGCAGGGGTGAGGTTAATAGGTGTTGTGTAGTCAGATCCCAGTTATTCGGACTATTCTAATTTTAGGATGGCAGATGTGTGTCATGTGTGCTGCACGCCCCGCCTCCTGCACCCACAGCAGACATCACTAATGGATCACAATGCTCTTTCTTGTTGAACCCAGACATGAGTTAATTAATACCTCTTTTCAACACCTGGCTCCAATCCACTAGGTAGCACATATGTTGAAAACGATTAGCTTATTCCTGTTCTAATTGATTTTGTACACTTTAAATTCTTACGTTTATGCAGCTGACAGTTGGCTAGGGTATCATTACTTACTTTAGCAACATTCTCTCGATTCTCAGCTAATCCCTCTGCTAATCTGAGCTGCAAATCACAAGAGCTATCATCCATCGCATGTTTACTATGTGCCAGGCACTGTCAGACACTGAGTGCCAAAACATGTCTTCGTGTCCTTACAAAGATCCCAAAGGAGGGAAGGCTAGCGGGAACCTGGTCTGTGTTACAGTTCCCACCACCTTTCCCTGGTGGCTCCGTGGCTGAGTTAGCGGCCTCCCTCTGGCCTCCTGCAATGCCACCACTGCACTGACCTCATTGTCCTACAGGGGCAAGTCCATGCAACTGTCTTCCCTACTCAACTCCATTAACGCAAGACCCCATGTCTTACTCACCTTTGAACACCAGCACCTGGAGTACCACTGAAAACATAGTGGGTATTCAGTAAATACATCAAATGCATTTTTCCATTTTTTTTCTTCCTTTTTTTAACTGTTTTAAAATACTCTCAGGGCTTCAATTCATGCTCTACAATGAACGGATGATATAAAACAGCTGCTACTATGGGAGGTTATTTACATCATAAAGCAAGGTATGCTGGCTCAGAGAAATTGGAACAGGGCAGGCGGGCCAGGCAGCCCCCATGGCTTGCACTAGTCCGCTCTTGGCCCCCACCTCATCCTCTGAGCACTGAAAGAGCCATGGTCGCTCATGCTGTTTCTGCCTTCACACCTCACTGCTATTTCTTCTCTCTCTCTCTCTCTCTCTCTCTCTCTCTCTCTCTCTTTATTTTTTTTGGCTTTCCCTGCCTCCCACACTGCACAGTGCACTGTGTTCTACTCAGTTCTATAATCCTAGCACACAGTAAAGTGCTGGGGGCAGTGGTGAATCAAGATTCTTGGAAGGAATCTGAAGTAAAAGAGCACTGGCCTGAGTCACAAGAGCAGGGAGCTGCTTCCAGAACTGCCGCGATCCCCTTGGGTAGCTTCACTGTGCTTGTTCATGGGAGAAGGCCTGTCCTGGCAGGTCAGGTGGTGCCCGTGAAGTGTGACAGTGTATTTAAGCACTCTGCCAAGTTCAAAGCAGGTTATCACGTCTCCTTTGTGACGCTGCCATGAACAGGGCCTGTGTTGTCACTCTACATATCCTCATCCCTTTTGGGCGGCCCCACGCTTTCCTCTCGTCCACTCTATGCAGCCCATTTTACTGTCACATCTGAGAACCTGTTGTCCCCTGCCCATGCCTGGGCCTGCAGAGTTGTGACCTTTCTAACGTTGCTCATGCCATTTTTTTTTTTTTTTTGCCTCCATTTCTCCTTCCATTGTCTCTGCAAAATTCTTCGGAGGAACACACAGGGCCCTGCGTGTTCTGCCTCCTGATTCCCTCTCCGGCACGGTGCTGACCCCACCCGCCTCCCACACATTGAGCTCCAATCATACCTGAACTCATCATTCCCGTCCCCACCACAAACCTCCGCCTACTGCTGTGGTCTCCAGCTCAGGGAGTGGCATCACCACCCGGGCAGCTGCCCAAGGCAGACACTCCGGAGTCACCCTGGCCTCCCCTCTCCCTCCCACTGCACTACCTCTTCTATCTCCTAGTCCTGCTCCCTCTGCCTCCACAATATATTTTTAAATTAGTATATTTTTATCCCCACTACCACCATCCTAGTTGGGACTATGCGCTGCTCCCCACTGGATTACTGCAACACCATGACAGCTTATAGTACAAACAGATATAGTTTCCTGGGGCATTTTTCACTTTCTATTTTATCTTAGAGGTACTTAGGTATATAAATAAACCTTGTTTCTTCTGTTAGATTATGGGCTTTTCTGAGGGCATATGATACGTCCTTGAATCTCTCAAAGGAAGGGTGGTTTATCCCATTCCTGTGCTTGAGTGAAGAGCCAACACTGTCCCCTGGCCTCATATTGTGAGGCCCCACTACCTTTAAAAAGGGTCTCGCCTTCTTTAGGGGCTTAATATTTTTGTCTGTTTGTTTGTTCTTGTTTGTGCTTTTAAAATGTTCAATATAAGGGACCGGCCGAGTGGCTCAGTTGGTTAAGAGCTCGCTTAAGAGTGCGAGTTCTGAGCAACAGGGTCACTGGTTCGATTCCCGGCCCGAGCTGAGCTGCTGCTGAGCTGCCAACAGGTGGCAGGATTGCTCAGCTAAAAAAAAAAATGTTCAACATAGGAAGAAACATGGACAGAATATAAAAAGCTCTATGGCCAACTCTGGGAGGCCAAACTTATGTTATCCATCCTTTTATACCTTGTACCAATCACATGCTTTGTGCAAAGTGAATACTCAAAGTGTTTGCTAAATGAATAATTTAATTTGCTTCTGAGGAGTCAAGGGCACTTAAGACTTTTACGGTGGCCTAGGGTCATAATGATGAACAGTAATTATCAACAAATTGTGCTAAATATATCCTGATCCTGGGACATCACAAGTGGTAAGGTTTTGTTTGTTAGTATGAGAGCCTCGATACCACAAAGATGTGAAGGCTTTAAAAAAGAACACCGAGTAGAGCTAGAATGAGGCAAAAACTACAGTTTGAGCAGCATGAGCAGCTGGTGAACGTGCACTAGATGTCCATCTTGTTCGTACCAGGCCCTGGGGCTAGAACCAGATAAGACAGACCAACTGTCCTCAAGAGGCTTAGCGTCTGGCGAGTGGGGGGAAAAATAGACAATTTCAAAATAGTGTGATCGGTGTTACAAGAAGTAAGGTAGAGGGTGCAGTAGGGGTGCCCAGGCTCCACTTGGTGTGTTAGGAATGCCTCTCAGAACATCTATCCTGCACCCAAATGCAGAGGGGAAGTTAGCTAATCAGAGGGGGACGAAGAAAGAAGAAAAAGGAGTAGCATGGTCAGGCTTGTAGTTTATAACAAGCCCATTCTGGCTGCATTCTGCGGGGTGGCAGAGGCAAGCTGTAGTCAGGGAAGCCAGTGGGGAGGCTGCTGCAGTCATTCACTGCAGAACATCAGGAGCCTCTCAGGCAAGAAACAGGTTGATGACAAATGATGTTAGGCATGGGTCTCTAAGAGCTTACGGTGCTGTGGCTGTTGCTCAAAGGGTGATAGTTCTGGATGTCAGCCGCCTACCTTCTAGGTCCGGGATGGGGAATAGGTTCGAGTTGGAGGCAACATGGTACAGTGCAGTGGTTTAAAATTTCTATTTGGTTGTAAAACACGTTGTTAGAGGGAATATGAAAAGCTGATCCTGGGCCGGCCGAGTGACGCGATGGATAAGAACTGGCTTGGATGCCAGAGGGCCCCGGTTCGGATCCCACATATGAGGGTCAGTGACACTGCCCTCTACAGCTAAGATGCTGAACAACAGCTCAACCTGGAGCTGGGCTGCTGTGAGTTGCCGGTGATGGCATAGGCTGCAGCTCCTGCTGCAGTGGGTTGCCATGGGCTACCGTGTGTAGCCAGCAGCTAGTGTGAGCAGCCAGCAGCCGCAGTGAGCAGGCATCCAGAAGCCAGCGACTGATCTGCCTCGCCCGGGAAGAGTGCAATGATGGTGCCAACGTGGGCCAGTGAAGCAACGTCCTCCACAACTAGACTGAAGAACAAAACGACAGCAACTTGTCTGTTTCCCTTCCCCCAATTCCCCAGCACTGTTCCCATCTCCCCAATTCCCCAATAAAAATCTTAAAAAAAAAAAGAAAAGCTGATCCTTTAAAAGAAGCAGAGTCGCTCTGTTGACCCTGGGGTGTGTGTGTTTGTGTGTGCATGTGTGCGTGTGTGTGTACAGACATGCACATGTGTGATATGAAGTCCTCATTCTTCCCTGTCCCACAGTTACACGAGCACGGGAGCAGTTCTGGTCCCAACACTGCCACTGATTGCTCTTGACTCAGCTCGACCCTCCTGAACCCTCAGTGTTTTCACAAGTCCCGTTAAGAATATGAACCTTAAAATCTCTCAAATCAACACCTACTTTGAATTTCCAACTGTGGGCAGCAAAAGGCATTGGTAAAGCAAGCGTCCTTGAAAGCCGACTACAGGTAATCTGCACTTTGAGGTCCATGGTTCTGTGGGCCAGAGCTATTCAACTGGTTCCCCTGGCTGAGGTTCGGGTGTGTCCCAGCTGAGGTGGCCAGGCAAGAAGAGGCTGCCCAGAGCCTCAGGCCATGGGCAGCGTCCTCCATACTAAGGTATGACTTTTCTAAGTGTGCCATTATGAGAAAACAAGTAGGAAGCACTGATCTAGATGAGAGGGAGAAAAACATTCACGTGCGCCCGGAGTCTCCTTTGGCCTGTCATGTACACCTCTCCTATGTCTCTTAAGTGTCCACTCGCTCTCTTAATGCAAAGCAAACACCAACCCACTTCCAGCTGCGTCCTGGGAAGGTGAGCACAGGACCGACATGGCCAGAAGGTGACAAGTAGGGCTAAAAGAGCAATGACAGGTGGGAGCCTTTTCCCCTGTGTTCTCTACCTCATGCCTTGCTGCCTACTTGGGGACGTTGCTCTGTTGACTATCACCTCCCCCTTCAATAGGCCCAAAGTCTCCCTCTCTCTCCTTTGAAATACGTAATTTCAGTCACAGTGGGGAAAAAAAAGCTTACATTCAGATGGGAAAGCACTGCTTTTCTTGAGAAGGCTGAACCCGGGGGCTCTAGTTCACACCCCCCCCCTCCCCAGAGATGCTGAGACGTTTCCAAGAAGATTCAGGATGGCTCAGTGCACTTCAAGAGAAAACGCAGCAATGCACAGAGGGTTACAATAAGTCTCAGTGCTCAGAATCACATGTCTGACGGAAAGGTTTTAGTCTAACTTTGTTGGGGTTTCCTATTGCAGTGACGCATGAAAAAAACAAGCAACCAACCCCCTGGGACTGAGTTATTATACCTGGAGAATGATTAATGTGGCCTGGGTCCTTCTTCCCTTCCTCAGACTTCATTGGCATCATGATGACCAAAAATTATTGTCTGGTAGTAGCGACCAGGTCACTAGCGGGCAGCAGGTGCCCTTCGCTCTTCACACCCTCTGGCCCTGGCCTGGTGTCAGGACTGGGGAGCGTGCCCACCCTAGGCTGGGCGGGTGCCCTGTGCATGTCTCAGCGCATGCTGATGGTGCAACACCCAAGGGCCGGCTCGACACCCTGGCAGCCCTCCGGCCCTGGCTTTTAGAGGCTGGAGAGATGGGCCGGACACCACTATATCAGAACAAACCAACCCAAGAAAGGTGCACCAGAAAAATGTGAAACAAACAAAATGAGCTGAGATGCTCCCTGTGGAAGTATTTCTTGAAAACATTTGTCATGTTGACAGCCTTTCTCTGACTATTCCAATGGAAGACTATTATTACCAGCAAAAAATCAGCACGTGGAATAGCTTATGTATCCCATAATACCAAATGTGGGCCGGGGGAGGTGTGGTTTAGGGTAGGAGAAGTATGATGACCTGTATAGGTCTTCCTTAGGGACTCTGTGTTGGCTAATTATAGTCTGAGAGCTATTTAGCTCAATAAACACTTATCAAGCACCTACTGCATACATACAAAGTACTGGGGAGGTAGCATTGTACAATGGTTAAAAAAAGAACTTTGGAACAGGTGGGTCAGGGTTTGTGTTCTGACTGTTCCACTCACTCCCTGTGTGACCTTGACTAAGTTACATAACCTTTCTGTGCCTCAGTTTCCTCACCTGTAAAATGAAGGTAATAATAGTGTCTATATTACAGCGTTGTTGTGAGAATAGCACTTAAAGATCTTAGGATAATGCCCGACTTTTAATAAGTATTCGTTGGCTGTTGTTATTATAATCTTTCCGCGCACCTCAACTTCCTCATCTATAAAATGGGCATAATAACCAAACCTACCTCACAGGGTTGTTGTGAGGATTAAATGGAATAATGTAGGTATGGTGTTTAGCATAATAACTTACACATATTAAGTGTGCAATAAATGCTACTCATTGTTATTCCTAGAAGACTCTCCCCAAATTACTTTAAAAATAAGACACTCAGATCTGAATGATGGTCCACGCAACAAAGAAATCCTTCCTTTGC